TCCACTCACCTCGGCCTCCCAAGGCGCGGGATTACAGGCTGAGCCACCGAGCCCGGCTCTAATCTACTCTTAAATAAATTTTTCTTTCTTAAAAAAAAAAAATAACAGTTCCTAACCGCTATGACTTCGTAATTGTTTTACAATGTCTTGCTTATAGTCTATAAGCTGCGAGAGTGAAAATACCACGCCTGTTTTGGTTATAACTGTACACCCAGTGCCCAGAGCCTGACATACCCAGTGGGCACGCAATGCTTGTTGAACGAATGAACGAGCAATCTAACAGAACTCAGCAGGTGGGGGGCGTGGCCTCCTTAGAGGCGGAGTCTTCCTGCAGGGACTGGGACCGGAAGCTCGGGCGGGGCTTCCCTGAGTGGCGCTCACCCCCCCGGGGCGGGGCTAGTTGGATAGCGATTTCGCGCACACTTGGGGCTTCTTCTCCCTCACCCCTAGCAGTTTCCTCCCCCAGAGCCCTGGCTCACCCGAAGGCACCTCTCCCCACCACTCGGATCCGCTCGTACTTCTCCATCTCATTTCTCAGAGTTTCACTTCCGGAGCCCCCCCACCAGCGCTGCGCGTGCGCGGACCTGCCCACTCTAGAGCCCCGCCCCCGCGCTGCCACCATCTGTGCGAGGCGGAACGGCGCAGCGGGTTGTTGGTCCGGGCCTTCGTCTGTGTCCGTGGACTTGCATGGTGCCTGCAGCTCGGACATACGATCCCTTTCCCCTCATGACCCTGCCCCACGCAGAGTCCAAGGAAAATGTCAAAAAACAAACAAATAGGACGCTTCCTGTTATGGCCAGGATGATTGCAGCCCCTTCCCGACACACGGTTCCAGCCCTGGCGAAGCTTTTGGACCAGAGGGCGGCCGCGCTCCCCAGAATTTCACCCCATAGGCTGAGCGGGGGTGGGAAGCAAGGATAGACCCTCTCCTTGCCCGTGAGGGATGCCATTTCAGAAGGAGAAAACCGATTATCGTTGGCATGCCAATGATAAACACAACCGAAACAACCGCAGCGCTGTCGGTCTGTGGAGCAGAGAGCAGGGTGAGTTTCATGTTTGCCTAAGGAGGGACGGGGAAATCCCGAGGTGTGCAAACTGATTCACCCGGGGAGGACATGACATAGGCTCCAGGCTGTCCCGCCTAGTGAGCACCGCTCACGTCAGCGCTCTCACCTCGCCCCTGCACGCACAACCCTGCCGTAGGGTATCTGCCCTACTCATCTAGGGAGGACCTCCTTGGGGGACGAGGGGATGGAAGCGGACAACTGAAAGCTGCCGGGAGAGAAGGCAAGACCGCTGTGGGCCAGGATGAGTTCAAGGTTTCCGCCCCGAGGCTATAGGGCTGGGTAATATGACCAGGCGGTGTCTCAATCAGACGTGAGCTCCAGGTTCTCTCTGGTGCCTCCTGCTCTGCAGGAACTCAGCATGGAGGAGGAGGAGCATCATTAACTGAGGGTTAGCGTCCCGGTTTCAGAGTGGGAGAGGAACGTGAGGAAAGGGGTGTTTCATCATCTATTCTCGCCCTGCCTTCTAAAGTGTGCCCAAACCCGCCCACGCGGAATGACCCCTGGCAGGGCCTCTCGGTCGCTGGCTGGCGCTGGTGTCGGCTGGAGGACACAGCAGCCCTGTGAGCAAAGGGGCGTGCAGCGCGGGAAAGCCGCTCACCCGGGACAACCGTGCTCTCACCTAGAAACCGACTGGGTCTTGGTTGACCCAGGAGTCCCACAGGGGTTAATGTGTAACCTTGGAGCCACCAGGGAAGGAAGAACAAACACCCACACGGCTTGGCCCCCGTCCTTGCGCGTCAGGTTTCAAGCTTCTTCCTCCCTCTCGCGGCACCTCTCCCCTCGCCCCCGCTTCTCACCTCCCCTCTATTTTCACACCCTCCTCCCACTGGCTCTCTGCTGCTCCTTCTTTCGCCCCGAATCTACCTAAACTTTTCCCCAAAAGCCACTGCCAGCCGGGCGCGGTGGCTCATTGGGAGGCCGAAGTGAGAGAATTGTCTGAGCCCGCTGGTTCGAGACCAGCTTGGGCAACTTGCCGAAACTTCATCTCTACGATAAATAAAAAAATTAGTAGGGAGTGGTGGCGCGTGCCTGTAGTTCCAGTTACTTGGAAGATCGAGGCGGAAGGATCACTTGAGCCCAGCAGGTCGAGGCTGCGGTGGCCGGGAGCGGCCGCTGCCCTCCAGTCTGGGCGACAGAGTGAGACTCCAAGTCAAAAAACAAAAAAACCCACTGCCTCGCCGTTCGGAGGTGGGAGGGAGCATCGCGCCACGGTGAGGACAGACTGACACCTAATGGCTACAAGCCGCAACTGCTCCAGGCCACTGGTCTGGAGAGTAAGGGTCACCCCAGCAGTCTCGGCAAATCGGCAGTCTTCCCCGCCCCAGCCTCCAGGGAGCCGGGCGAAGAGGACTGGGACTGTCGGAGGGAGGATTGTGACAGCCGCCCTGCCCCAGGGGCTCAAGGACGGCCTGGGAGGAGCGGTGGTAATGGGTCCCTGAGCACCCTCTTGCAGGGCGCCGGAGACAGGCAAAGACGTCCGCCTCCAGCCCGAAGACAGTGGTCCAGCGGAGCAGTAGGTTTTGGGCGGCGCCCACTCTCCGAGGCGGGACTCCCGATCCCTTCCCAGGACGAGTTTAGGAGACGTGGGTGTGGACACGTCCCTCCCAGCTCTGCCCAAAAGGGAGCAGAGGGCGGAGAGAGAGTTCTCGCTGTACCCGCCCAGGTCCGGGCAGCCCGTGGCCCCGAAGAAAGTGGGGACGCGGGTTAACGAGGCCACGAGAGCGAGGGTGACTGGGGACTGCGTCGGCAGTCGGAAGGCGCCAGCGCGGGGTGCCTCGGCGGCGGCGCTCGCGACAGCTCCA